AGATCCCTTGGGCTAAGATCACTTGTGTTTAGATCCCATGTGTTAAGATCCCTTGGGCTAAGATCACTTGTGTTTAGATCACTTGTGTTTCGATAACATTTGTTTAGATCACCCGCGTTAAGATTGCTTGTATTTAGATCACTTTGTTTTGATCCCTGTATTTAGATCACTTTGTTTTGATCCCTGTATTTAGATCACTTTGTTTTGATCCTTGTGTGTAGATCTCTTGTGTTTGATCACTTGTGTTTAGATAACTTTTGTTTATGTGTGTTGTGTTAAATTGTTCAAGATTAAAACCTTTATCATCGTAAGCATATTTATGTATGTGCTGAACACAAATATGTACATTGAAAAAAAAAATGTTTTCCTTTTTTATCAATAAAATAATCTTTTCTTTCTTCATATAGAAAAATTTATTAAAGAATTAATGAAATAATTTTTATCAAGGAATCTTAATATTGCCATAAATTGTTTAAAATTACGTTTAGCTTATTTCACAGTTTAAACATTGTTTTTATCATGAATTCTGTGTGGTGTTTGAAATACTAGGTTAACTAGGCCGGATAAACAAAATTAGTTTCACTGCGGGTGCCAAATTTTTGGCCGCTCCCTCTTTCACGATACAAACTGGGCAGTTGTCCGAAAATGTTTCACCTCCGTATCAAGAAAAAGTGAGAAATGTTTGAACAGCCTCCTCCTCCTTTCTACACCACTTAAAGAGGCGTAGTTAGAGTGTTTGGCCTCAGGGGACGTGATTTTTTTTTACGCCCCACCCCCACCCTTAACTCTGAAACTAATTATGTTCCATTAATGCCATAAAGGCCGTTTTTTAGTGCCCCCTCTAGTGTGACGCTCCAGGATGTATGTCCCATCAGCCACCCTTAGCTACGCCTCTCGCCCCTGCCTCTGTTCCCCCCCCCCCGACACTCTGAAATGCCCCCTCGGTGAAAAATGTCATAAAGAAACACTGAGTGAGATCAAGTCTGCAGTTTGCTGGTATTTCCTCTGAGACTGTAATACGATTTGAACATTTCTAAAAGTTATTATCTTAAAACTTAGCATGGTATTCATCTTTTAAAAAAATAAAAGAATGATTGAAAAAAATAAAGCCTGGCCATTTTTTTTTTAAAAAGTGACCCTTATCTTATCTGGAATACTGCAGATACAAAGAAGTGAAGATATTAGTATACGACAAAATTACAACTGAAGTTAATGTTTGACTTTTTTTTTAAATTTTACCCCAGGCAAACATGTTTGTTACTCAGAATCTCCATTACATAGAAAATAAAATGCAAAAATTTTTTGATTCAATTTGTTGTGAACTAGATTGTTGTGAATGTTTGAGGGGAGGGGGGAGAGTTGTTGATCGTGAGAGTGTTTTTATGAGTCATAAGTCGTGAGGTCAGAGTGTGAAGTTGGCTCATTGTTTTGAGCTTTAGTGTATGCTGAGTGTTTTGTTGGGATATAAAAGGCAGATCTTTTTATCGTTAGTCGAAAGAAGAGATTGAGAGACAGGGTGGAATAGTATTTTGGTTAGATTCACTGTGGGCCTTTTTGCATGAGGATAATATTTTTCTTTGGGATGTATTAAAGTATTAGCTTCATTGTTTACCAAGTAGATTTTGTAGTTCTGTGAAAATAAACCCATAGTGTATACTGAAATTTTTAGTGTTCTTGAATGTGTTCTAGCTCCCGGGCGGTGGTGGTAGCAACGCAACGTCATCTCCGGAGAGGAAGCAAAGCTGTTCCAACCCCATTTTACTCTGGGCCGAGTTGCATGGCCGGAGTCCCCAGGGACTACTTGGCTATGGTTGACGGCCAAGGTCATAAGAGATAGACTCTCGCGACCTCCGAGTATTGATCTTCATTAGTGTTCTTGAATCACACAAGTCCGCGTTTTGACCAAGGAAGATGAAGATTGCCATCTCAGGATGGGCATCGAAATATTTGACATCATCATAATATATTAGACTAGACAAAATATTTAACACTAGTTATAGCCCGCCAAACATTTGCGGTAACAATGCGTGAACTTCCCATCTACTAAATTTACCTGACAAAAACGTGAACTCAAGTTACGCACATTTAAGAATGCCAATTTTGCTACACCCCTTCCCCACCCCCACCCCTTTTCATGACACGTCA